TATTATTAAATATAGGTAATATACATTAATTGCTTTAGAGATTTAAAAAAATTGTCTCTGGTTGGGCAGGTCATGTACTGGGTGAAGGTGGGCAGTACAAGTAGAAGGAAGTTTACAGTTATGTAATGTGTAAATGCTTTCATTCATATATTATACTTATAGCACCCGCTCCACACATCTCTCATACACACTCTACACTCTGCTGCCTTCTGGAAGGAGGTACGGGAGCATTCGAGCCCTCACTGCCAGACTGCAAAACAGTTTCTTCCCCCAAACCGTCAGACTCCTGAACACTCAGTGGACTGACACACACACATAACTTCATATATGTCACTACCAAGCATCTCTCTCTTTCTTACACACACACACACACACACACTCTCCTCTTCTGTCTAGTGTTTAGCAATATTTGGACATTACTTTACGTAAAATGGTAAATGGCCTGCATTTTGTATAGCGCTTTACTCAGTCCCTAAGGACCCCAAAGCGGTTTACACTACATTCAGTCATTCACACACCGGTGAATCACATTTATAACTTTATATTTTCGTTGTATCACAAAGTCTAAAAACACGTAACATTCCCAAACACACCCACACCCATCTTTTCCTTAAATCATTAACAAATCGCTATCAACTTAGCTTCTGCTATCAAAATTAGCAGGTGTGGAGATGATTTCCCAGAAACAGTGATTTGAAATAATAATAACGTCATCTCACAGACACTGTCCTGCCTATAGTGGCTGGAGCAGTCTTCCAGAGAGAGGGTGTGTGGCAACAACAGCAACAAAAAAAGACGTCCAGTTTGAACAGCATTGCTTGCTCAAGCAAACTCATCAGAACAGCAGATCCTTTAATCTTTAAGAGCTTAAAATGTCAGCAAGACATCTACAGGTAGCTCTGTAACTGTTAGAGTAATAGTACACACAGAAAAAAGGGGCATGAATCCAACCTTCACTAGAAAAATTTGCTATTCAAAAAGAACTACAGCTTTCCAGCAACCATACAGGAAAAGACCGGGTGTATTGACAGAATGTGCTATGGACAGACGAGTCAAAGGCTGTAAATGTTCTGTTTTAGGAACAGGACAGCTTGCAGTCATTCCCTTAACCATGAATACATCATGTCAGAAAGTGTTTGAGGATAATGAGAGATCACCTGTCAAATAGATGAGGTGCTCTCAAGAACAGCACAAAATTCCCATTTTAATTTCCCAACAACAACCAAAAAATACATTCAGGGTTATGGAATGGCCCGGTCAACACAAGTCCCACTGTTGGGGAAATATGGAAAGGACAACACACATAAGAAAACCCTCAAACATCTTAGAAATCAAGGGGGAGAGGTCCAAAACTCCAACAGGTGACATTAAAGACCAGTGTGACATTTTGTTCAATTAAATTTAATTAATTAATAAAAGATTTTCCTTTAGATTTCAAATGTCTCACCTCAAAGAGATTCAAAGAAGATAAAGTGTTTGATTATCCAAATGTATTAGAAAAGTGACAGCACACTGCATAAACACGTTACCTATGTGACATTTATTTTTTTGTGGGCTTTCTAATTATATT